TAAGCAATGCATGTCAGTTGCATAACAAATCAAGACTGGGCTTTATCAACTTAGCACTGGACCCTATATATAGGGCAGACATATTCTTATGTGTTAAAAGAAAATGATTAGCATGTTATAAACCAGGATACAAGATTAAGTAATCTGATTTCAAATTGGAGGAAAGATAATGGATTTTCCAAGTTAGCAAAGGGAGAAGAGTGAGTTTCAGTCAAGTTGGGAAGGATCAAGTGGGTTTGGAAGTATTTTCTTTCCTAGAATTGGGATATGCTGATCAATTGCATTCATCTGCATTTTATGAAAGAATAGATTGCTGATACCATTTATTTTCCCATGAATTTTCACAGAAAAAAGAAAAACAAGTTGGAGGATAATACACATGACAGCACGAGATAGTCAATATTAATTGGATTGGTTCTCTTGATTCTCGCACCCAAAAATTCATTTTGAAACCAGCCTTTAATCTATTTCTTCACCATCGCCTTGGTGCAGGCCCTTATCACATCAGATCTGGATTATTGCAGTAGTCTCCTGGTGGGTCTGCTTGCATCAAGTTTCTCTTCACTCTAATTCACCCTGCATTGAGCAACTCAAATAATTTTCACAAAGCACCAACCTGAACATGTCATTTCTTCTACTTAACAAATTCCAGTGCATCCCTATTGCCTTGATGATTAGACACAAAATTCCTTGTTTGGCGTTCAAAGCCCTTACTAATAAAGTCCCTTCCCATCTGCCCAGGCTCACTATATTTTTGGTCCTCATCGCATCCTCTTTGATCCAGTGACACTAGCCTCCTTGCTGTTCCCCTAACAAGAAACTCCATTTCTCAGTCCCAGCCATCTTCTCTTGTCCTCATACCTAGAATAGTCTCCCCCTTTATCTCCACTTACTAGATTCCCTGGTTTTTTTCAAGTCTTAACTAAAATCCCAACTTCTACAGGAACTTTTCCCAACCCCTCTTAATTCTAATGCCTTGTCTCTGTTCTTTCCTATTTCCCACATTTATCTTGAATATGACATATTTGTATGTATTGGTTTTGGTTTTGTCTCCCCAGTTAGATTGGGGGTTCTTTTGTATAGGTACTGTCCTCTGCCTCTTTTTGTATCTCCAGTGTTTAGCGGAGTGTCCTGAATATTTTCTTCTTGTTGCTCAGTCCTTCAGTCATACTTGACTCTATGTGCACACAGTAAGTGCTTAATAAATGTTTATTGATTGATTGATAGTCTCACCATGCCTTTCCCTTCCTTTATTTTGAAATGTAGACCAAGCACAACCGCATTTTTTCTCAATTATTCATTACAGTGCTCTAATCTGTCAAGGTCTTTCTAACTCATTCCTCTGACACCATTTTGAAGACATTTTTTAAGTAAAGAACTCCAAATTTATAAAAAAAAATCAAGGAAAAATTTACATACAGAATAATAAAAAAAGCCAAAAAATTAGAAGCGAGTTGTTAGTTTGATGTGACAAACTGGTTTAGAAAATTGCATCTGAAATGAAAAATTCTTAATGATATTACTTTGGATTCCTGTAATTTCATCAGATTGGGGAGTTCCATGGTGAAGAAACTCCTTCTACTAATATAGAGCAACAGCTGTCATATGTGTTAGTTAATTATTCTATTGGAGGATAACATGGGGCAGCTAAAGGTTGTGTGAATTTCCCAGGATCTTGTAATATGTATCCAAAGGGCAGATTTGAACCCAAGTCTTCCTGATTGGGAGATCCACTCTAACATTACTGCAAAACATTGACTTTCTTAAGATCACATCTTAAATTACAAAAATGAGGGGACACTTAGTCAGTGATAGAGTGCACCTAAATGAGAGTTAGTAAATGTGTATTTGTCTTGCTATTTGAAGATTTGAAATATAGGGCTCTGAAGTTAAAGGGATAGATTAGGAAGAAAATTGCTTATGTATACTTAATATGACAGATACCCTGAAATTCAAAGATAACTCTACTGAGTACTAAATGTTTATCCTGGAAAAAGAAAGAATTAGGGAAGGCACAGGATCTTCCAGGGTCTGGATGGATGTCATATAGAAGAATGGCCCAGAAAACGTAACTAGAAGGACTGTCTGAAAGTTAAAGAGAAGCTACTGCTGAGCTTCAAGGCACATGAATATATTAGATGCTCTTTGGAAGGCTGCTGGAGAATTTCAGGATGTTTTAGCTATAGCAGGGCTAAAGCTGATTGCATGTCTGAGCTAATTCTGTCAAAAATATATGAGATCATTTCCACTTCTGGGAGCCAATTGGCAAAATAAGCAGTAAATTACTATTGCTTTCCCATATTTACCTCTGAACAACCACCAAAGAGTGCCCCAGGAAAAATCCTGGAACAGCAGAGTCAGCAGAAAGAGGGGGTGGAGCAGACTTTTAACCCAGGAAACTTGGGGGATTGGCAACAAAGGTCCAGGTAAGTACCGGGGTCTCACTTGGGTAAAAGGGGAGCACATTCCATGACAAGAACAGACCCAGAAAACCAGCAGAAAGCCCCACCTGAGCAAACCAATGGAAGATCCTGAGTCTCAGTGCAGTGGAGCAGGCCAGTGCCAACATCAGGGCCCTCCACATGCTTTAGCATAGCAAGGGGAACCAGCAGATTCCAGCTAGAGGAACCATCACATGCTTCAGTGCAGCCCCATGTCGGTAGGCATCCTCTAGTGGTTGGATCTCCCAATGAATCTGTGTTGCCCTGGGGAAATGCAGAAAAACCTTAACCTAGCCTCAGCATAAACCAGACACCACCATTAGGACCACAACTCAATGCTAGATAAGTTGCCAAATGCCTACACTCTCCAGCTCAAGCACCTGAGACTCCAGCATGAAAAGCCAGTGACCAAGACCCTGGCCTCCAGCACAAGAAGCTTGGAATAGTGCTCCCCTGTGCTTGTGTATGACAGCTCAAATTTAAAAGCCAGGAAATGAGAAAACAAGATGAGCAAGAAGCAAAAATGAGCATTGACCACAGAAAATTAGTAAGGTGACAGGGAAGATCAAAACACAAACTCAGAAGAAGACGACATTGTCAATATGCCTACATCTGAAAGCTCAAAGGGGAAGATGCACTGGCCTCAAGCCCAAATAGCCTTCTCGGAGGAGCTCAAGAAGGATTTTCAAAGTCAAATAAGAGAGACAGAAGAAAAACTGGGAATAGAAATGAGAGGTATGCAAGAGAGAGTCAACAAGTTGGAAAAGGAAGGACAAAAGTTGAAGAAAACAATTCTTTAAAAAATACAATTGGCCAAATGGGGAAAAATCTGCCAACAAAAACAACTCCTTAAAAAGTAAAATTGAAAAAAAAAATAAAGCAAAATTGCCCAAATGGAAAAGGAGGAACAAAAGCTAACTAAAGAAAACAATTCTTTAAAAATGAGAATTGGGCAAGTGGAAGTTAATGACTCTATGAGACATCAAGGATCAGTCAAACAAGATCAAAAGAATGAAAAAAAGAAGAAAATGTAAAATACCTCACTGGAAAAACAACTGACCTGGAAAATAAATCCAGGAGAGATAATATAAGAATTATTGTGCTACCTGAAGGCCTTGATCAAAAAAAGAGCCTGGACAGCATCTTTCAAGAATTATCAAGAAAAAATGCCCTGATATCCTAGAACCAGATGGTAAAATAATCATGGAAAGAATCCACTGATCACCTCCTGAAAGAAATCCCAAAATGAAAACACCAGGGAATATTGTAGCCAAATTGAAGAATTATCAGGTAAAGGAAAAAAGTACTGCAAGCAGCCAGGAGAAAAAAAAAACCCAAACACCCCTCCCCCCCCAAAAAAACCTAAAACAACAAAACAACCATTTAAAAATGGTAGAACCATAGTCAGAATCACTCAGGGCTTAGCAGCTTTTACATTAAAAGATTGGAAGATTGGAATATGATATTCTGGAAGGCAAAAGAGCTTGGATTACAACCAAGAATCAACTAGTCAGCAAAACTGAGCATAATCCATCAGGGGAAAAGGTGGATATTCAATGAAGTAGAAGACTTTCAATTAAAAAAAAAAAAGGACTGAAGAGTCGAGAAACAACTCAATGATGTAATTGGTCATCTTCAAAAGGGAAGAATAAACAACATTACAACCACTACTAGGCATCTATCCCAAAGAGATCACAATTTTTAAAAAGGAAAACACCTATATGTAGGTCTATAGCAGGTATTTTGTGGTGGCAAGAATTGGAAATTGATAGGGTGACTATAAACTGAGGAATGGCTGAACCAGTTATGGCATAAGATTGTGATGGAATATTATTGTGCTATAATAAATGATGAATAGCATGTTTTCAGAAAAACCTGGAAATACTTAGATGAACTGATGGAAAATGAAGTGAGCATAATCAGAAGAGTATACACAGTAATAGCAATATTATATGATGATCAACTATGAATGAACTTGACAGAAGATGTCTGCTCCAAACTTCCAATTAATTACAAAAAAGGAAGCACATTTTGGCTGAATTAATGAATTAATCCAATGCAAACTGGCATAAATAATTCCTTAATCACTTTTAGCAAATCATTGGGCCTTTGCATTATTGGATGAAACAGATGATCCATAAAGAAGATACCTTGAAGTTGGTTGAACAGAATAAGTCATACCCTGTGGAGTGATGTATACCACACCAGAGTTCCAGGAGTTTAATCATTTAAGTTGTGGTTGAATCCTGTGGTGAAGGAATCCTTAATGGGAACTGACACTGGGTATGGAAAATGAGACAGTTTCACATAACTCTTGGCCTCCCACTTCCCTATTGTCCAAGGGTCTTCCTTGACCTTTGAAAACTTCAAGCATTCTGAAAATCTGGAGTGCCCAGACATCATTCAGTGCATTGGTAGTAGTGTCCACCAAAATCGGTAGTACTGTGGGGATCCGGCACATGTATGTAAGTGGAATTTGACAACATAACCAGAAAGAATGCCACAATAAAGAATTTGGGTTGAAATATCCACAAAATTCATAAATATGGCTATGCCTAACTAATGCAGGCTATTCTCAGAACTGGAAGTGTAAGGCTGTGCTCTAGAAGAAATCTTGCCTCTGGAATCCCATTTATTCTTGATCTGCTCCTGGGTATTTCTATCTGGCTTCAGGAGGATCACATAACATTTGGGAATAAAAAGGCAGCCCAGTAACCCAGCACTGGAGGCCAAGATGGAGAAGATCTCCACAATCACCATGGCCTTCCCTTTGGTGCTGTGATATGTGGGAAGGAAAGTCGCCCAGACACTGCAAAACACTAGAATGCTGAAAGTGATAAATTTGGCTTCATTGAAGGTATCAGGCAGGTTCCTGGCCAAGAAAGCTACAGTAAAGCTTCCCAGGGCCAGAAAGCCTATGTAGCCCAGGATACAATGAAAAGCAAAGATAGAGCCCTCATCAAATCTAAGGATTATGTGGCCAGATTCTGAGTGTGTGTCTGCCTCTGCAAAAGGAGGATAGGTTCCCAACCAGATGCCACAGGAAATCCCTTGAATCTCTGAGCAGATGAGAACAACATAGTTAGACACTTTAGGATGTATCAGCATCTGGATCCTACTCCCTGGCCTTGTAACCCTGAAAGCCAGAACCACTATGATGGTTTTGGTCAAAATGGAGGAAACAGCCACTGTGAACGCAACTCCAAATACTGTTTGTTGGAGGAGACAGACTGTCTCTTTCCTAGACATTCTTCTTCCTCCCACATGCTTCTCTCTTTTCAGGTCCCAACAAAGACTTGAATCAAGGAGAGCTTGCACATCTTGCTTTAGGCAGTGTGTTGGGATTCTAATATACCCTTTATTGTTAAGTCAATTGCAAAGCAGGATCAATGCGTTCTATTGTTGAGTACCCCTTACCAAAGCCTCCTTGTTCCGTCATATAAATGGGTATTCAGACTGATTTCTCTGGGTGCAAAAGTTCAGAAATTCTGAAATCTGACTAGGTTTATTTTTGGAATTGTTGTTCATCCTTCTTTCTCAAAGAGGATCAATGGCATCACATATGTAATTTTTTGCCTAGCACCTGAATTGAATCTGAGTGAGGTAGATCTGCACAATGTAATCAGCCTCACCCTCTCCTCCAGGGTAATTGGATTCCAGTAGCAAAACTAAAGTCAAGATGACTGGTGATGGTGCAAGATGTAGTGGATGACCTTGGCTATTCTAAATTAAGGTCTTTCCCAGGTGTCAGTTTGAGTCCATGCCCATTCAATGACTCAATTTACCATCCCAAGGATATAAATCTGGGAGGGGAAGACTCTCTGCATTTTGGATAGAAAGGAAAACAGTTGCTGTTTACAATCATTCTAAGTCATCACCATCTAAACAATGAGCACAGACGTGTGTGCTGAGCCTATTATTGGCCATTCAATAAAAGCCAGAATAATTTGGGTTTAAAGGCATAGTCAAGTAGCTCCATTTAAAACACAATGAGCTTTTTAAAACCAGGTTTTTCAGAGCTATATTTAGAGATATCACAAATCAGAACTATGCAGGATAAAAGTAAATTGTTCCAGCTTTTTGAAAAGAAGAAAATGAAGAAGAGGAAGAGGAGGAAGAAAAAGAGGAAGAAGAGGAAGGAGAAGAAAAGAACAAGAGGTAGAGGAAGAAGAAGAGGAGGAGGAGGAGGAGGAAGGAGAAGAAAAGAAATAATACAAGCATTTCCCAACTTCTTTTTGAACTGAAGGATTGGGTCCCCAAAGGCAGCTACTGCTACTCTCAGATAACAGAGTTATTACAGAACCTTCTCCTAACAATGTGGTTCACTCCTTTCTACAAATACCCACAGCATCCATGAGAGGAGTAAGCTTAAACTTAGACCATAATAGTAGTGAGGCACTCGTGTAAGAAATATGTGTGACAAAGAATTTATTCACAGCGCCTTTTCTGGAAGTCCTTCTCTGTGTTCAGATCTTACACAGAACCCTTTGTAGTTGTTGTTATTTGTCCTTTATTCTGGAAGAGGACCAATTACGTCATAAGCCTGCTGTCTTGCCTTGTGTGGTGATTGCATTTAAGTGGGGCAGACCTGTACAGTCATCAGCCTTGCTCTCTCCTTCAGATTCGTGGAGTGAGTTGATCGTTAGTTACCTTGTTGTATATCCCTTACCCAAGCCTCCTTGCTTCCAGATATAATGGTATTCAGCCTGATTTGTCTGTGGGCAAAGGTTCAGAAGTTCTGAAACCTAACTATGTTCATTCTTGGGATTGTAGTCTTTGGGATTGGGAGACAAATTGTTATTTTCTCCTTGCCCTGCCATAAAGATTTGCTTAGCTGTGGATGGACAAACCCAGTTGGAAAGGACAGTTAAAACAACATACAAAGTTCAGTCATAGTTAAGTTTTGGAGTGGATCATGCATGGCAGTAGCTAAGGTAGGGAGTGGGGAGGAAGAAGGAGGGAGAGAGACAGAGACAGAGAGAGAAGGAGAGAGATAGAAAGAGGGAGGCATGAAGAAAGAGAAGGGAAATGAGAGCACACACACACACACAGAGGTAGAGACAGAGAGACAGAGGTACAGAGGTACAGAAAGAGAAAGGGAGAAAGGAGAAAAAAAACAACAACTTCATGGGGTAGCTATAATTGCCAAAGGTTTTTGAGTTATGTCCCTAATTTAACATAAAAATGAATGCAAGGAAGATTTAACTGCTCCTCTCCACTTTTCCTTATTTCTGCTTGTGAGAGATGAACTTTCAGAAGTGAAGCCTCCTCAAAAGGTCAATAATTCTTGATTATTACTTTCAAAATCCTCCCCTACTCAGACCCTGTTTTTAAGCAGGTAATGGAGAGAATAAGCCCTGCCCCCCCACCTGGAGTGTGGGCCCACCTCCCAGTTAAGGGGATAGGAAGAAACTTTTGAGCTTAGAATGTAAGCCCACCTCCAAGTTAAGGGGATATGAGGAAACTATTTCACATTTAGAATGTAAGCTCAACCCCCAGTTAAGGGGAATAAGGGATAGTGGTGGGCGGGGACTTGTTTGCATTAGGGTTTATAAGACATCTCTTTTTGCATGACCAGTCTCTCTGTCCTACCCACATCAAAGGAGCAGATAGCCATCTGGCAGGATTGTAATAAAGGTAACCTTTGCTTTCCATCTTGAGAAGTCTCTGAATTTAATTTGGGGTAGGGTCGCTGTCCCACACATGTTGATATCAGACACCTGCACGATTTTGGCTTCCTTAAGCTAACCCTCAAAACCAACAGGATTTGGTCTCCTCCAGCACAAATCAAATCTTCCAGGTATTTTTGAACTCTCAAATCACCATACCAAGTGCTGTGATGATGGAGGGAGGAAGAAAATTAAGAAAACATAACATCTCAATTGGATCAAAGGGGGATGGCTGGTTTCCCTGTATTTGAACACGAAAGCTGTACTAATGGCCTTGGCAGATTCATCCCAGAACAAAAATCTCACCTTAAATCATCCAATTTTAACATACTGTATACCCTCAGACCCCTAGACTTCCTCATTTCAATCTTCACCTTTGACTTACTGCTTTACTGGAAGTCTTTTTCTTGTTATTGCCTCCTCTGCTGTGTTTTAACCTCAACCTCAACACCTGTGTTGAGGTTACGGTTTTAGGGTTGCTGGGACCCTAAAATCACAACATGTGAGCCCTGCCTGAAAGAATTTGACCCAAGCCTTCTTTCAGCCAAAGACAAGGTTTATTAGAACATCCATCATATTTGGCAGATTCTTAAGAAGTCTGAACATTAGTGAGCTATTGACTAGACTATAAGAATTTGAGCACCTTAATGGAGACAAGGTGGACCTTATATACAGGAAGACTGTGAGAGAAATCTAGGAGTAGCCAAGTAGTCTGCAGGGACTGTGAGGTAATAGAATGCCAGGGACCTGGACCATGTGGCCAAAGGAGAATGGGGCCTAGCTAAGATTAAGGTGGGAAGTGGCCAGGGGCCATAGGGAGGTAGGGCTAGCCTAGGTGAAGGGTAACAGAGAATTTGGAGATTGGGCATAGCCACAATGAAAGGCCAGCTGATGTGATTATAGACAAACTCCAGTGATTTGGCCATGTGGGAAAGTCCAAGGTTTTTCCTTTCTGGGGTCCAGATCCCAACCCCATCATCTGGACAATTTTGGTTCCACCCTAGTACAGTAACTATAATTATATTGATATCTATATCCATAGACACCCTCTAGGCACCAACCATTGTATTTGGGAAAAGACTAAGTTGTTTTGGTTCATCCAAGAAATGAGATGATTTTTTACTTTTTTAAAAAAATTTTATTAATTTATTTTGATTTATCAACAATCCCTTCCATATGCTTTTGAGTTGAAAATTTTTCTCCCCCTTCCACCCCCCACCCTCCCCAAGGCAGCACACAATCTGATATAGGCTTTGTATTTACATTCCTATTAAACATATTTTCACATTAGTGAAGTTGTAAGTAAAAATTAAAACCAATAGGAGGGACCATCAGAAAGATGAAACAAAACTCAACTGAAGGTAAAAATAAGTGAGAGCCATTCGACTACCATAGTTCTTTCTTTGGATGTGGACAGCATTTTCCATCCTGAGGCCTCTGGAGATGTGTTAGATCCTTGTAATGCTGAGAAGAGTTCAGTTTAACAATATTAGTCATCTCATAACGTGGCTGTTATTATGTACAAAGTCCTCTCGGTTCTGCTCACTTCACTCAGCATCACACCATATAAGTCTTTCCAGGTTTTTCTGAAGTCAGCCCGTTCATCATTTCTTACAGCACAATAGTGTTCCATTACATTCATATACCACAACTTGCTCAGCCATTCCCCAATTGATGGGCATCCTCTTAATTTCCAATTCTTTGCCACCACAAAAAGAGCTGCTATGAATATTTTTGTATGTGTGGGTCCTTTTCCCATTTGTTTGATCTCTTTGGGATATCGCCCTAGAAGTGCTATTGCTGGATCAAAGGGTATGCACATTTTTGTAGCCCTTTGGGCATAGTTCCAAACTGTTCTCCAAAATGGTTGGATCATTTCACAACTCTACCAACAATGTATTAGTGTTTCAACTTTCCCACATCTTCTCCAACATTTATCATTTTCCTGTTTTGTCATGTTGTGCAATCTGATAGGTGTGATGTGGTACCTCAGAGTTGTTTTGATTTGCATTTCTCTAATCAATAACGATTTAGAGCATTTTTTCATATGACTATCAATGGCTTTAATTTTTTCATCTGAGAACCGTTTGTTCATATCCTTTGACCATTTATCAATTGGGGAATGGCTTGTGTTCTTATAAACCTGTCTTAATTCTCTATATATTTTAGAAATGAGGCCTTTATCAGAGAGACTGGTTGTAAAAATTCTTTCCCAATTTTCTACCTTCCTTCTAATCTTAGTTGCTTTGGCTTTGTTTGTGCAAAACCTTTTCAATTTAATGTAATCGAAATGATCGGTTTTGCTTTTCATAACGTTCTCTGTCTCCTGTTTGGTCATGAATTCTTCTGTTTTCCATAGATCCAATAGGTAAACTATTCCTTGTTCTCCCAGTTTACTTATGGTATCAGCCTTTATATCTAAGTCATGAACCCATTTTGACTTTATTTTGGTATATGGTGTGAGATTTGGGTCTATGCCTAGTTTCTGCCATACTCTTTTCCAGTTTTCCCAGCAGTTTTTTTCAAGAGTGGGTTCTTATCCCAGAAGCTGGGGTCTTTGGGTTTATCAAATAATAGATTACTATAGTCATTGACTACTGTGTCTTGCATATTTAACCTATTCCACTGATCCACCTCCCTATTTCTTAGCCAGTACCAAGCAGTTTTGATGATTGCTGCTTTATAAT